TAAAGGCAGTGGAATAACTTTTCATAAGTAAGTATCGATATTTTTTACAATGAAAATAATTTTCTCCATAATAAAAAATAAATAAATGAAAATAAATAAAATAAAAACAGACAAAATTTATGTTTAATTTTTTAATGTGTTCCAAAAATTTTGGACAAAAATGTTTCAATTCTGGTAAGAGAGCGTCCATTAATTACGTGAGCAAATTTTCCTTAAATTTAGACACCTTCCTACCCTGAGGTGCGATTTTTGCTACCCCCCCCCCCTAACTTGAGATTTACCTTAAAACTTTAAAATCTTTACATATTTGTTATGTTTTTTACTTTATGATACTAAAGATATATACATCTAAGAGCGAATAATGATGGATACCACATTTTTCTGCGAAAAAAAATGTTTCTTTCATTAATTAGTAATTTATTGATTTAAATCAAGTGTTTTTTTTAGAATAACATTTTTATTTCTAAGTCGTTTGGTTTTTTAATAAATACTATTAACTGTAAATTAAACTAATTTAAAGAAGATATATTCATTACAATTATGTACTCTTTTTTGTAATAAAATATTTACTTTAATAGATAATTTCTTCCTTGGCCGATTCCACGTGAAATTTACATATGACCCTTTAAATTCGTCTAAATATATTTGTTTATATTCTTTGTAGAAAAACATGAAATACGTATTTTTTATTTTTGAAAAATCGGACAAATTTTTTTATTTATGAATTCTCGAAATTTTGGCTTTGCGAAAGTAGACCTTTCTTTAATGGATAATATCTCTAAAAATATTAAATTTGGCAAAATCTTGCTACAGAATGAAAGTTTTGTTTTTTCTTCAACTTTTAAGAAATTCAAGAAACATTTTTTTTTAACTTTTAGTAAAAAAAATTAACTTTGTATAAACAAATTATTTTTTTTTAATTTGGCCCCAATTAAATTTTGTTTTTTTGATTCATTCATGCCTGAAAATATAGAGAAGATTTTGCAAAAAGAGCCGGAATGGGCCTGATGAGTTAAATAAGTTTAAATAAATTTTTAAAAATTGTTTGCAAGCTCCACACGCGCTACGCTACACAATGCACAGTGGGACAGTTAACATAGGGCCTACTTTTAACCGCTTTTGACGTTCTTGGTCTTTTTTTAAAGATGATATAATTCTGCATAACGCTTTTGATGAACGCCTTTATAATCAATTTTAATGATTTCAGTTTCTTATTACAAAATTAATGAAATATTGAGAGAACTGTGCAATATTATTAGTCACATTAAACGACTAATACTTTAATTAATTTTTACACATAGCATTGTTTAAACAACCCTTAATTAACAAATAGATAGTACCGCTGCTTTAACATGTTTAAGATTTGGTTTTGCTTTAAATTTTTTTAAAGACAATGTATTTTTATAATATTTAACAAAATCAATAATTAATTAAATAATTTTTATATTTATAATAACAATTTTATATAAACAAAATATTTTTTTGTTATTTTTAAGCAGTCTCTTTACAGCTCTTTTCTTTATTTTTTAATTATTTTTTTCATACTTTTATTTAATGTAAATACTAGCAATATTGAAACTAATGTTAGTTAACAAATTTACAAAATTATTGCTATCAGACATTGTAAATTTTTTTTATATACGGGGAAAAATTATAATAATAATTATTGTAGTTAAGATGGTAAATAGGTGTCTCCTATTAAGTATTTCATTAACCTAATCAGATATGATAAGGTAGAAATTTAATTGACTAACCGCATAGAGATATAAGAATAGAGTGCGCAAGCCTGTACAATTTCCATGTTACGCTGCGACAAACCAATAGAAGAAGACAGATGCAACTAGTGAGCCCTGCCTTCCTTCTTGTCTTACTAACTCTGAAACATCAGTGAAACAAGGATGGGAAAGGGGCCTACAAATCGAATCTGTCTCTTTCTGTCCAACGCATATAATAATCTGTCGTTTTTTCGAGCCTCTTGCGCACTCTATTCTTATATCTCTATGTGACCAACAGTCAAATTTTTATGTACGAAACTCGTACAAATATTTTTCTTACATGGATTCTGAAAAAGTGGGTCGTTTCTCGCTGCTGGGGAATGATCCCAGAACCTTATTATTGCCGGTAAGATGCTCTACCAATTGAGCTACAGAGAGACCCGATTCCACTCAATTCGGAAACCATGCACACGACTTTTCAACGTTAATATTAAGAACTTAAGAACTTAAGAAGATGGTAAAAAGACGAGTTTTTGGCACAGCTGAAAAACAAAATATCGACAAAATAAATTGTTCTCCATAGGATTAAATAAAAGCTTAAACATTGTTCTTTAAGATCCAATATCAAAAAAACTTAATATCGGATAATTTAAACAAGTAGGGACAGTTTTTGTGACTAAACGCGCACGAATTTTGTATAATGCACAGAATTAAATTTTACTTTTACTAATCGGGTATATACAATTGCATCTTATCTTAACTGCAGTGGCGGATACAGAAAGTTTCCCAAAAAGTGGGGGGGTCATCCTTAGGCGCGATATTCGTTGACCATAATGAAGCGACCATTCTTTTTTGTAATGTAAATTTTTTGCCTAAGGGGGGTTGTCATAACCTTCCTCGATTCCGTATACTAGCTTAGGATACTATATAATGTTATGGATGAATCAAACGGTTTTGTCAAAGCAAAAATCCATAATGATGTAAATGCGAATGCCGTCTAAGATAATTTCTATTATTATAATCTTCTATTAAAAATAATTAGTTTATGCGTGATCGTGTGCGTGGTTTCTGAATTGAGTGGCATCGGGTCTCTCTGTATCTCAATTGGTAGAGCATCTTACCGGCATTAAAAAGGTTCTGGGATCATACCCCAGCAGCGAGAAACGACCCACTTTTTTCAGAAACCATGTACGAAAAATATTTGTACGAATTTTGTACATAAAAATTTGAGTGTTGGTCAATTAAATTTCTACCTTATCAGACATGATTAGGTTAATGAAATACTTAATAGGAGACACCTATTTACCATCTTAACTACAATATTAAAATTCAAAAACAAAATTACCATCCTCACTAAATAATAATTATAATTATAATTTTTATAAATATAAAAATTATTTTATTATTTATTGCTTTTGTTAAATATTATAAAAATACATTGTCTTTAAAAAAACTTAAAGCAAAATTAAATCTGATACATGTAAAAGCAGCGGTACTATCTACTTGTTAATTAAGGGTTGTTTAAACAATGGTATGAGTAAAAATTAAATAAAGTAAGTATAAGTCTTTTTCCTTGACTAATAATATTGCACAGTTCTCCGAATATGTCATTAATTTTGTAATAAGGAATAGAAATCATTAAAAAAAATTTAAAAATTGTTTAAACAATTTAATTTTTTTCAAAAAACAAAATCAAAGTCGTTATACAGAATTATATCATCTTTAAAATAAGACCAAAATCGGTTGAAATCTGTAGGCTTTGTATTAATTGTCACACTGTGTAGCGTAGGGCGGCTGGAGCTTGCAACAAATTTTTAAAAATTCATTTAAACTTATGTAACTCATCAGGTCCATTCTGGCTCTTTTTGCAAAATTTTCTGTATATTTTCAGGCATAAATAAATTATAAAAAAACAACACTTCACCCTATCAATTAAACGAGGTTTTCGAGCATGTGTGGTATAAAAATTCTTAAAAGTAATTCATTTACTGCGAAAGAAGAATGGAATTTCATTTCAGAAAGAAAAGTAAAGTTTAAGGGTTGAGTAAATTGTTACAAACTGTTGAATTTATATTTGAATTGGAAAAATAACACGTATGAGATATGAAACAGGACAGGAAATTAATTAAGTAAATTAACACTTTATTGAACAATTAAGATTAAAAACATACACTTTAAAATTAGACTTTGTGACTTTAGACTTTTAAACTTGAGTTGAGACGTACGAGACTTTAGTGCATACCGCATAACTATAATAGTACGACTGACGAGACCCGGAAGGCCGGAACTGCACTCAGGTACCTAAAGTACCCGAATTTCCCTTTCCACCTAAATTTAACCTAACACTCTGACATTTGCTAAATATCGTTGTATTTCCAACACAAACATGTTAAAAAAATTGATGTTTTTTTTAACTACTAACAACGTCATTTGATTCTATGGTAAAAAGTACTAATGAAACGTGTATGATTTTTTTAAAATTTTTATTTTATTTTTACTTTGAAACTCTGATGCTCCCACCATTATTAAACGTTTATGACTTTTTTAAATTTTTCATTATACTTCTACTTTTTACTTCGAAATTCTGATGCTCCCATCATTATTAAACTTCTAGAAACCAAATTATTCTTCCGCTTCAGATAAGCTCGGAAGTTACTCACTGACAACAGTTCTCAGTTCCGTAATCATGTATATGTCCTTCTCGGATAATGATAAGACTGCAACCTCTGGACTACCCCTTAATGTCATCCACAAACTAATCCAACAAAATGACGGAATCAAAAAGTAAAAAGGGGCCTAAAACTCCCCCTTACTAACGGCAATCAGCGTGACTGGGTCGAACAGTTACACGAACTTCATTTAGTTGACGAAAAAATTCCTAGGTTATCTCATGGATATCCCGCGCGAGATATCCCCAAAATAATGCATGAATGAAACAAACCTGTGAATGCTGTCTAAAGATGGCAGACAAAGCCCAAAAGTGCTAACACGCTTAACGATAATTGAATTGTGAATCTTTTTCATGATTCGTTACAATAATTAAATTTTTATATTTAAACACATCTCGTATGGGTACTCCACAGGATGGAAATTTAGATATCTCAGGGATATCCTTTTGTTGTGTGGGTCATGTGCAATTGAATTTTCATATATACCATCTTTACAAATGTGGTTACTTTTCGCAAACATTAAATATCCCTTACTCTAGGTTTTTGTTACAATTCAATATACTACTTTTATCCTAATATTAAATTTTCATTTAATTAGATATAAAAACATACTTACTTGAAGTTTTAACTTTTCCATTATGCTTCTTTTGTCTTGCTCTTGAATTTTGAAACCAAACTTGTGTTACTCTTTTTGTTAATCCGGTAACATTTGCTATCCTCTCAAGATCCTGACCATCAGGGTTACTATCAAGTTGAAAGTTGGCTTGAAGAATGGCCAGTTGTTCTTCTGTAAAGGTAGTTCTAACCCTTTTTGATTTATTATATTTACCGCCATGCTCAGAATCACAATCTTCCGAAGAACTACTGTTATTGCCTTCTATTACATCCAAGTAATGAGTTTTGCAAAGTAATCGGGCGTCCAGAATGGCAAAATGTTCTCCCGTAGATAACTGACGTGAACAAGCATCACAGGCAAAGCAAGCTAAATGGTAAACTCTGTCTCTTGCTCTTCTTACCCAATCGCCGGCACCCATATTTCTCCCGCATTTTGCACACTTGGTTCCAAAGTTTCTGTTAAAAAGAAAAGCAAGATTCATTGTGATAATATGGAGTTTGTTAATTATAGGTTTCATTAATATTATAGATATACAACATGCGACAAATGCTTATTAATTTCTATCAATGATTTTTTTGATGTCTATAAAGAGTTAAAAAACGATAAACGATATAAACAGTACAAAAACAAGTTTAGTTTAAATATTATATAATCGTTCTTTCTTCATTCTATGTATGAGGTGAAATTCCTGAACTGTCCATGTCTAAAGTTCGAAGTTATTGAAGTGGCTTATAACTTTCCACACAGCACAGTATATTACATCGAGTTTACAAAAAGCATTTCATGTAAGAATTGTAAGATAACATCGTAAACTGTCAGTAGATTTATTTTTAACTTAAAATGTATGGACATGGAATGCTTACATAGCAAGGTCGTTGGAAGCTTGTTGTTTACTTAAACATTTTTGATGTGCTCTGTCTCGAACACATACAACACGAGTTACAGCTTTCGTCTTATATAGTTTGATACTAACCAAATAAAAAGATGTCAATAGGCACTATGGTATTATTAGTTATATACTAAATAATATCTAACTGTCTCAAACTAGATATATCTCCCCTATATTATTATAAGAAAATTATAATTATATAAATATTAATTATATAAATTATAAGAAAATAACATTTATTGTATATATTTGATGAAAAAACATAGCAGCGGATGCGTATGCCAATCTCTCGGAGAAATATAAAAGAAAACTGGTAAAATGATTAATCTAACAAATAAAAAATGTTTCGCACACATTTATCTGCAGTTAATAATTATTTGTTCGTGTTAAAATTCTGTTAATATAGGTTAACATGGAGGACATTGTTCCACATAATTTTAACCGAGAATTTCACGAAAACATTATGTCCGAACTATTCAAGGAAAAGGAATTGCCAGGAGCTAAATTTTGTAAAGTAGTGAGATTAGTTGCTGACAAATTAGAAGAGACAGGAAAAAAAGATGCACAATACCTTTTCTTATCTGTAATCGTAGATACTTGCAGATTTCCTGGTCTAAAAGGGAATAATTCATCAGCAATTCATGTTCGTATGGAATAATATTTTAAACTTTTTGTTATGTCATTATATTTCATTACTATATTATTTGGAATTTCAATATTTAACAATGATTTTTAAAGCCAAAGATTAGACATAGGTAAGTTTTATGTAATGTATAAAAATAAGAAATGAATTTACAATTACTAATAGAAGAATCTGGAAAAACAAGAATCGACAAATGCAAATTAAAGAAACTGTTTTCTGAAACTTGAAATGAAAGGCTAATGGATGTAAAAAGAGTAAAAGTTTCCATGAAAAGTATCCAATATAGCAAGAAACTGAATTTGTAAGTATTTAAGATAAATGCAATTTAGATATATTTCAACATGGTTGCACAGTCATTTTATAAAATAATCATCTTTATTAAAACCGTTTAATCTGGTTTTTTACAAAATTAACACATTACTTATACAGTACAATTTCGGTAAGTGTCGGGTCGCGACATGTGTCGGATTTTTTCCACGCCTATAATCTTGACAAGTGTCGGGTGCCTTTTTCCTACTATTTGCGTGCGCATCAAAAACCAACGCCGTATGAAATAGTTTTAAATATAAACGTCAATAAAATAAAAATAATATCTTTAATAATGAATTTGAAGTAGGTAAGTTGAATTTTAATCTAATTATATATTAGATTATTCAATCTTTTATATCCGAGAAGAATTATACATTATACATCTGATACCGATTACAATGTAGAAGGGGAGTAATTGACTCAAGGCGGGTGACAAAATAAAACGGATGCCGCGAAATGGACAACGTAGGTTTTTAGAGAGAGAAAGATAAGATGGCCGCCGCACATAGGGGCTACTCCGTGCTACGAATGGGGAAACCTCTATTGATAGAAAGAGAGATACACTGAATATGGTTGTGTCTCTCTCACTCCGATGAAGAACGTAAGATGGCCGCTATACACAGGGGATACTGTGCTTACGGACTGTTTAATTCGGTTAGGGACAGTTTTATAAAGAAAGTTTAACCTTCGTTTAATGTTTGTGGTGGCCCTGAAAAGGGCCGGTGAATTGATTTTAGTATGGTCCGAAATTCAAACGTCGGCAATGACGGCGTGCGGCTCGGTCCACACTAGGTAGGGGATCCAACACAAAAGCCTCTGGGGAGACGCCGACCGGTATGTAGAGTGTGTCCGGATAAATGGGAAGCAGCTGGGTCCTGGAGTGGACTGGTCGAGAACCAATCTTGACAGGGGTTGGTCCGAAGAGCTCCAGGAAGATTGTCTGGGGCGATGGTGTCCCCACTGGCGTAAGGAGCTTAGTCGTGGACGGAATATATCCACGTTTGTCTTCGTCGGTTGAGCCTCGAGAGACTTCCTCTAGGTCCGATATCGGTGTACGGACAGGCGGTGGTACTGCTGAGAAAACTGGTACGGGCAGGCACAGTTCAACGCGTGGCGGTCGCAGGATCCGGCGGCGGGGATCCTGGGTTGATGAGTGCCCTCGCACTAGCTCCACAAAGAAACGGGATGAAGGAGACACTGGGCAGGACTGACCCGGGTCGTAGTATTGCGCGGAGTGTAGGTCAGTGTTTCGTTCCCGAGCCGAACGACGTTAAGTGCGATGACGTGCGGCTTTCCCTGGACGGCGGCGTTGGCCGCATGCAGCAGGCACCGGCATGTGCGAGGTACTGCACGGTGAGCTTCGTTTAGGTTCAACCTAAACTGCATGACCCTTCTCAGGTTTTTTTTTATATCAGTTCGGTGATGCCTCACGATCATTTTAAGACGAAAATTAAAATAATCGTTGGAGGGAAACTCAAATTATATTGATTTTTAAATTTTTTCCTAGGTTATTGAAGATATTTTCATTAAAATACCGTTTGGTAAAATACTTATTGCTTCAAAAGCTACAATTTAACATAAAAATAGATTATATATAATAATTAAACCATTTTGATACATAGAATTAAGAAAATGTTTAAAAATAGTCGAAAAAACTGAAATTTTTCTAATTTTTTAAACTTTACTCCTTTATTTAACGTTATTTCAATAAAGTCATGTAGAAGTAAATTAAAGTACATAAAATTTCCTGTAAATTAAAAAAAAACTCTTCTATCTATTACCGTTACAAAAATATGGTCATTTGAATTTTAAATTTAATGGATAAATAGTTAAAATTTAACATTAGGTCTAGATTATTTGGTAAAATTGTTTTCGCAGAACTTCATCTCAATTCCATATTATAATACGTATAAGAAGGTTTAATCTTGAACAGTTTCAAATTGAAAAAACTGATTTATCTCACTTACATCGAAAGTTACATTGGTTTAAAGAATGTCTATTTCTATAAGAGAGATTTGAGTAGTTTTTAAAAATTCGTTTATTTTGAAAAATTACTTTTTTTGAAAATATTTACTTTTTAAAAAAGTAAATATTTTAAATATGATTATGTTGCATTTTTCAAAATAAACGGATTTTTAAAAACTACTCAAATCTCTCTTATAGAAATAGACATTCTTTAAACCAATGTAACTTTCGATGTAAGTGAGATAAATCAGTTTTTTCAATTTGAAACTGTTCAAGATTAAACCTTCTTATACGTATTATATTATGGAATTGAGATGAAGTTCTGCGAAAACAATTTTACCAAATAATCTAGACCTAATGTTAAATTTTAACTATTTATCAATTAAATTTAAAATTCAAATGACCATATTTTTGTAACGGTAATAGATAGAAGAGTTTTTTTTAATGTACAGGAAATTTTATGTACTTTAATTTACTTCTACATGACTTTATTGAAATAACGTTAAATAAAGGAGTAAAGTTTAAAAAATTAGAAAAATTTCAGTTTTTTCGACTATTTTTAAACATTTTCTTAATTCTATGTATCAAAATGGTTTAATTATTATATATAATCTATTTTTATGTTAAATTGTAGCTTTTGAAGTAATAAGTATTTTACCAAACGGTATTTTAATGAAAATATCTTCAATAACCTAGAAAAAAAATTTTAAAATCAATATAATTTGAGTTTCCCTTCAACGATTATTTTAATTTTCGTCTTAAAATGATTGTGAGGCATCACCGAACTGATATAAAAAAAAACCTGAGAAGGGTCATGCAGTTTAGGTTGAACCTAAACGAAGCTCACCGTGACTGGTGGTGGTGTTGGTCAGGGCGGTGACGTCGGGCAGAACCCAAGCAGGATTCGTGCTCCAAGGTCCCGGTAGTCGCTCTAGGTGTCGGGTGCCGAACCTCAGCAAGGTTCTGGCACTGTCCCCTAGAGGATATTGCACCACTTTCAAAAGAAATTCTTACGTAGATGCCCTGAAAAGGGCAGATGTGTCAAGAACGAAAATAATTCAAAGCGCCCTGAATAGGGCGGATTGTGTCAGGTGTTGAGAAATCCTCTCGTTCAGTGAGAGTAAAAATAAGGCACGGCTTCTTTACGTAGTAGCGTGTTTTGAGGGTTTCAAATAGTCGGCGTCAACGTTTGGGAACAATGATTGGCTTAGGGCTCTCGAAATGTATATTTTTCCAGTTTATGATGTTTATGTGCTCGTCTTCCTTTTCAGATAGTGTTTGCAAACAGAAACACCCCGAACTGTCACCATAAATCCAAATAAAACATAATAAAAATAAATTAATACATAAATGAGGAAAATAAAATAAGTTTTTTTTTAAACGTGTTAAAAATACGTCGGAAGGTGACCTTAAATGAATGCTCTATTCTAGAATAGAGCATCTTTTAACAATTGGCCCCTTTTAAGGGAAGTTTCCGTTGTATATTTATCATATAATTTTTTTTTTAATGAAAAGAAAAAAAATAATAATATATATTTAGGTAAGAAAAGATTTCTTTGCTTGCAGCGCATATAGACAGTTTCTTCAGCCACATACTGCTTCGATGAGGACATCCCTCCAGGGATATTAGTTTGCACAATTTCTAATTG